TAATCGCACAAAATAAATGTACATTTTGATACGATTTATGGACAGTCAATATTGTTTCTTTGTGTGATTATTATTAGTTGATATTTAATTATCGCTTTCAGGAATAAGTGATTAGGTTATGTACAATAAACCTTTTCATTGGCAGTGGTTCATGCACACACACACACATACCTTTGATCGTTTGATGACTAGATGAAATTGGCAAGAAATCATAGTCTATGAACAGAAATATTGATATTAGTTGGTGGTCAGTGTGAATTCAGTAACTAATGTCGTATTTGTCTTACCTCTGTAAAGCTTGACTTTTAGTCATTATGTCACAAGTTAAAACCCATTTTCATCTGCTTAATAGAATCTACCACCGAAGTAAAAAAACTTAATGTTGAAAAATAAAGAAAATCATAAAAATAGTGGTTTATTTTATGTTCAAATAGCATGATTTTGTATTGGTTAAACTTATCAGAACCAATATCTACACAAGACAGAAAAATGAATAAGATGAAAAAAGAAGTCATCAATCATTTAATAATGAAATTCACACCTGTTGAGCAAGTCAGATGATGTTTAAACTCAGGAACTTAGTAAATCACGAGTCTTAGTATATAAAAATCAACATTGAGATACGGATATAACTAGCTGACGAGTCGCGATAGGATGAAATATACATCTTCAATTCTACTGTTAGTCACAGTCTAAATAAACTTGAAATTCATAACCAAAGGTAATATCGTAACCATCTGCACAGGATTCATATATAACGACAAAGATTGACTAATTAATGTACTTAATATCAATAACAATCAGAAAATTCAAACCTTTACGAGAAGATAAACATCCATCATCCTCTATTGCTAAACATATAATCGAAACAGGTCATAAGATTGATCTAAACTCGGCTTTTGTGGTGTTGTTTAAAAGTGTAAAAGGGCGTATACTAAGGTTTATTGAAGCCTTAGCCATACGAAAATTCAACCCCCTTTGTGTATTCAAAAACAGTTTGTTCTCTCTTTAAACCTACCCTGGTAATATATGATTATTATCCAGAGTGATTAGGTGTCAAATTGTTTTCACATTATTTTCACAGTTGAAATCATGAGTCAATTGAAGCTAGACCACCATCGAAAACCTGGAAGCACTGGACGGCCGTTTCGTCCTATTATGGGACTCCTCAGCAGTGCGCATCCACGAACCCGCTCTCGCTCGCGAGAGCGGGTTCGTGGATGCGCACTGCTGAGGAGTCCCATAATAGGACGAAACGGCCGTCCAGTGCTTCCAGGTTTTCGATGGTGGTCTAGCTTCAATTGACTCATGATTTCAACTGTGAAAATACTAAATTCTCCACAAAACCCCCTCTGATTCACATAATTTTATCACTATTATCCTTGTCTACTCTTAACCCCCCATTTCCAGTCTAGTTGACCTTTTATTTTTATATATAAATGTTCTTAACAAGTATATGTGTGATCAGATTGTTCAAAATGTATTTATTTATTTATTTAAACACATAAATATTGGTACAAGGAAGCACCAGATAAATATGCGCCTCACAAATCTAATGAGATTTGTGAATTGCGCTAATATATCACATAGTTCTGATAATCTTCGTCTTCTCATTACATTATCGAAATTTATCAAAGGGACTAATTGCTTTACGAAAAGTTAGATAAATTATATAACTTTACGAATGGACCCGCTTAAAAGGATGCCTTTGCTGAATTAATTAATTAATTTCTGTTTGTGTCAGTTTACAGAAAATGTTATAAAATCAACATAAATATTGTGGAAGTATTACTACAACTGCCCCTCCTCCATGATCATAACAAATTGTTTTAACGGTAAGTTGTATACTTTTATGATAGTTGATAAATATCATAGTTACTTGATATATTGACTGAGATAAATACTAAATTAATTGAAGTGGACATGTTTCTCGACTACTTATCTATGGGATTCCTCAGTGGTGCGCATTCACGATCTCGCTCGCAGCATTTGAACCCAGGACCTTCGATCTCACACACGAATGCTTAACCTCTAGATCACTGAGCCGGCATCCAACGATGTTAATTTCTAAAATCAACCAGTGCATGATACCGCACCACCGGCCACCATTTTCTTCAGTGAGCAACTGCCTCACACCAGACCCTGTTGAACTCCACTGGTCATGGCTTCTCCCTACAACTGCAGGAAATCCATCCTGAAGCCAGTCACTAGTGAACACATGGTATTTCTCAGTATAGGATTGTGGAGATTGTTGAGTTTTAATTGAGATCACTAACTGATCAATGTTAGACCAACAATAAAAATATTGAGGCCCTGGACGACCGTTTCGTCCTACTATGGGACTGTTAGATGCCGGTTCAGTAGTCTAGAGGTTGAACGTTCGTGCGCGAAAACAAAAGTCCTGGGCTTGAGTCCCATATGAGGTATCGTGGATGCGCACTGCTTAAGAGTCTCATACTAGGAATAAATGGTTGTCCAATATTTCCAGGTTTTCAATGGTGGTCTAACATTGATCCGTTCATTATCTCAATTAAAAAGTCAACAATCTCCATAATGTAATACTGATACCTATCTATGAACATAGCTAAGCAGTTACAAATTATACAATATGTCATCACTAATGTCAATTAGCGTAAACAGCTATGGATGTGAACGTCGGAGTTATGGCTCAAGGAAAAGCTAAAACTATCAGGGAATCTTTAGATTCTTGATATTCAGGTCAGTTTATGATCAGGTGACATGTTGATTTGCAAACCACTGAGAATTAGGTCAATCAATCATGTTGTAAGAAGTCATTAAAAAAGACGGTTAATGAACATGAAAATAATAAACGGTTTGAGGATGATTAATCGATCACCGAAATCACTGGAACAAAATGGAAACTAGTGCTTCTGGGGTGATTTTTAAATTTCCACTCTAAGACTCGAAACTAGTATCTTCCATTTCAGCCTCTAACCCGTTATCTATCGAGCTATTGAGTCCAGATAGATACATACTTGCTCAACGTATATTATATTTATTTAGCCATTAAAAAGGGTTTGATTCATTCCATTGTTGATATTCAGGACTGGGTTTTGATCGATTTGAAGCGAACGTTTATTTGATACGAGTCAAAATGTGAACATAAGCACCGGGATACACTTACATCCAGCTGACGAGTTCCAACTAGGAAGAAATGTACATTTTGAATCATACTTTTGATCATAATCCATTCATCCTATGAATCTTACACTAAATCGACAAGTTAAATTCAATGACAGATATATTTCCTTTTTTAAAATGGATATTAAAGAAGAATGCTAATTTATTTTCAGGTATCAATGAATCTATGAATAAAACACTGCAATAATCAATTGTGGATCAGTTGAAGTCAGACATTAACTCCGTTGGATGCCGACTCAGTGGTCTATCGGTTAAGTGCTCCACGCGAAGCTGGTAGGTCCTGAGTTCGAGTCTCGCAAGTGCGGGATCGTGGATGCGCATTGCTGAGAAGTCCCATAATAGGACGAAACGACCGTCCAGTGCTTCCAGGTTTTCTATGGTGGTCTAGCTTCAATTGACTCATGATTTCAACTATGGAAATAATCAATTAGACAATCGACTCAGTTATTCACCTAGCATCTACAGTTTGTTTTTCATATGAAATTAAAGTGAATAATAGTCAATAATGCATTTTAACCTTCTAGAAACTGAAACTAACAGTGATAAATGGAATAAAATCTGAAATATACTATACCCAATAATTTATCAAAAATTACATTTTACAACATAATGAATATTAAGTTCACTTTTATTATTGTTTGTTTGAATCTTCCCATCGATGTGTTAGGACTGCAACTGGTCAGTCTCTAATTGGCATATGTGCATACTGTGCGTATTGCCTCGATATAGCCTTAATTCACAAGCATGATAAGCAAAGATGGATAGTGGCTAGCAGTGGAATCCAGTTTGACGCGCGTTTCGTCCTATTTGGGACTAGTTAGCTGGATGTGCCTGGATCTCAGACTTGATGTTCACTCTGGGACTCGAACCCAGTACCCCTCGCTTCAACCGCCATTGCGTTATCCACTCGGCCACTGAGTCCTGATAGCCACTTGCTTGTGCGATGGGGTGAAGTTTAAATTCACTTAGTATTTATGGACAAATGTGAAATGTATATTTCCTATTGTATAATTGTTAAGTAACTAAACTATTCATATTCGTGTCTCTCTTATTATAAACTTTATTTTGACCTATAGACTATTATTATAAGATTTACCATTCTTGAGTCATCCCCAGTTCATTAATTACTGTTCTCCCCATTCACAGCCACATTTAGCCAAATCTTGTACAAATATTATTTTCTATTTTATGGTACGATGTAGTCAGTTTGTTTGGTATATAAACCCAGTATATTTGAGAATAATGATTCATATTGCAGAGGCTGTTATTGATGTTCTTGACTTAACTGGCTGGCCTAGACAGATAGCAGGACTAATAAGTACTTAAGACTGCTCATACGGCTTTTGTGTATCATTTCTCTGGTCGATAATTCACTCCTCTCTTATTGGCGGGAATCAGCACGTTTATATATTAAACAGGGCACGCACATGCGCACTCAATCGATATGACACTCTCTAAAGAGAAAAAACCAAGCATTATTATTCCGTCATATATATATATATATATATATATATATATATATATATATAACCATAATATTGGACATGGTGTTTACGTCGATACTAGTCCTTCTCTCGCTCTCTCATTTTTTGTAAGCACAATTTCTTTTGTGCAAGGTATTTCTTGTCTCTTTCCTTTTCCTCTTGTTCCTTATCTTCTCTTCATTCAACATTTTCCTCATTGCTATTCTTCTCTTTTCTTAATTTATCTAATTTGAAGTGAAATGTTAAATTTGATTGGTTACAAGTGAAATAGTAATCTATTTTCATTGAACCAATTAGAATCTAAATGATCAACTTTTAATTGTTGTTTAACGCTGACATTTCTGTTACTGCACTATTTTAGTAAGAAAGAATTTTCCAAACTCTATTACACTTTATATATTTGTCAGTGTGTTTAGTTTTCCTATCTAAGTGATTACTTACTGTCAATTGTATATACATATCTTCTAATTATCAACCAATATGTAGTCCAAAATCTCAAATGTTTGTATTTAGGTATATATATATATATATACAGTGTTCAGTAGGAAAAGTAGTTTCAACTTCTAAACCGATCTATTGGACACTTGGTTTATTCCTTTGTTAATCTCTCACTTCTGTGTTAATCTTATTTTTACTTTTTCTCAAACGTATTGAATATCTACTTATTAATCCTGGAAATAATATCAACAAATTGTTTATACATAATAATAACCATCTTTGAGGAGATAGAGTAAGACAGAGAGAGAGAGAGAGACAGCAACCGATAAAGAAGTTAAGATATTTTTCTAAATAATGCGGATTAAAATATTATGCAATTTATCCAACTGTACATTTTATCATAATCTTATATATCTCCTGATATTACTTATATGCATCCTATGCTGTACAGTCAGTTTAATTTCAAGTAAGTTTTGTGTATTCTATCTAACTATGTCATTTTAGTCAACTATGTAATGTATAAATAGTTGTTTTATGCTCACTTTTAGTTGTTGGTTACCGAAGTAACCAGAGTAACTATATGTAAACATTTAAAATGGTAGCCATTCAAGGTTAATAAATATTAAATATTGTTTAATGAATACCGAACTGATATCGTTGGTGTTTTTATGAGTTAATTAATGAATATGTCATAGATCAGTAGGAACTCAGAAAAGATTGACGTATATTATTAGTGAGAAGCTTAGTCAAAGTAACAATATTATCTTCTCTGAGATAGATCCATATATTTTTATAGCAAGAAATATGTTCCTGACTAAAATCTTTTACTAATCAATCCATGTAGACTTAATAGCTTTATTATAAACCAGTTTGTTCTGTAATTGTTAGTTATTTGTTTAGCAATTGAAGTAAACTATCTTCTGATCAAAAATGTACAATCTACACATTAGAAAATGATTAGACGAACTACTATGAACTACAGACCACTAAATTCAACGAGAATCACTTACATTCAGGGCTTAAAATGACAATCAATTTTAATTTGGATTGATTTAGCATTGTAACTAAGTTAAAATAGCAGTTTATTTAGTAAATATCAGTGAAATAATTTACATCTGTAGTCCTCAATGTAATAAGTAAATAAAAATCTGTGATAATTACCTTTTACTATTCAATTACTGATAAATTGAAGACAGTTCATTGTCCAATGTGTGTTACTAAAATATATGTTATTAACGGAATATCACTATTATTTCTTATATCTGTTCAACCTACACCTGATTATTGTATACTTTTAAAAGATGAAAGTACCAATGTAGCATTGATTGGGTTAATTGTATACGGACTGTTGAGGTGTCTCATACTAAGATGAAACAGTCTTCCAGTGCTTCCACGTTTTCAATGATGATCTAGCTTAGATCGACTCATGAATTCAATTGTAAAAACTAATTGTATTTATTTATTATTTACTAAAAAATATTGAGTTAAGCTTTTAAAACCTATACAGTTCATTATTAAATGAAACGTAACACATACACACATGAAAATATTTATCTACTTTAATAAATTAATATATTTGTAATATCCTAACGAGTAGAATAATTAGATTTTTCTGACGTTTCGTGACTCAGTGTAAGCCACTTCTTCAGAGAATAAATAACCAAATTAAAATTAATCCAAGTTTAAATAGTACAACGGAACAACACGAATATTATGTGATCAATCATAAAAGAGGTCTGAATAAATCAATGTCATTTCATTTTATTTCGGTCAAGGTGATTCATAAGCGACATGTATGTAGAACTGGATAGACTTCCAATTAAATCGGCATTAGCACTTCATGCCATTTTCAACTATCATCAAATTAATCTCAAAATACTACAAAAAGTTTTTTTCCAATTACAAAGAAAAAAGAGTAGCTGAAGCGTTCCATATAATGTCTAATACTACTGATCTCAATAGAAAGGAAGGCCTCACCCTACATCCTACTTGGACTATCTATCCTAGTCACCTAGTCTGATATTATTTACAATTCACACCATTACATTACAAATTAAACTCCATCCTTTGTCATTATAAAGGTCACACACTTTTCATCATTAACAGTGCACACATACACACACACAAATTTACATCCATGTCGCTTATGAATCACCTTAGTCGAAATGAAATGACATGACATTGATTTATTCAGACCTGTTTTTTGATTGATCACACACAATATTCTTGGATTGTTCCGTTGTACTATTTAAACTTGGATTATTGTGAATTTGGTTATTTATTCTCTGAAGAAGTGGCTTACACTGAGTCACGAAACATCAGAAAATCTAATTTTTCTATTCATTGGGATATTAAAAATATATTAATTTATTTATAATAATCTACCCCAATGCTCAATTTATTCAAAATTATTTATCTACTTTATTTTGAATAGAATGTGTCTTGTTTTTCACTTGGTATTCAGACTAGTAAATAATAAACAAGAGACCTATTTAGTTTTTGTAAGTTACTGTGTCAAAATAATTAATATTTATGATGGTTGTTTTTATTTCACAATGGATTAATTTAAGCCAGGTAGAATTGAACAGATTTGTTGTTTCATGTTAATACTACTGAACTATCCTCATTGACAGAAAAAAAAATTGAAATTTCAGGGTCTTGTTACACATATAATATATATATATATATATATATATTGTTATCAGAAGGGGTTTTGTGGAGATTTTGGTATTTTCATAGTTGAAAGCATGAGTCAAATGAAGCTAGACCACCAAGGAAATCCTGGAAGCATTGGATGGCCATTTCGTTCTATTGTTTGACTTCTCAGCAGTGCGCATCCACGATCTCGCCTCGTGAGACTCGAACTCAGGACCTACCAGTCTCGCGCCAGCACACTTGACCGATATACCACTGAGCCGGCATCCGATGTTGTAAATGTCTAACTTTAATCAATCCACGAAGTTGAGCAACCGTTTACCAATTGTCTTCAGTGAGTTGATATCTCACAACAGACGTGGTTGAACGATTGAACTAAGTGAATTGATGTCTTCATGAAACGATGACATTAAAAGTTGACTATTTGTCAATATTGTACCATTGAAATACTTGATAATTGTTATGACTTAACAGCTTATACGAATAGTAAGATAGATACTAAATTCAAATCTCATTATGAAAATGCTCACATTGAGACCGGGTTAAATTAAGTTGATGAGCACTGGACAGAATGAAATATGTATTCTGGATTTTAGTTATTTTAATACATACCTATTACAAACAGAATAAGAAATGAACAAACAGTGTCATGAAACAAATTGTTTGATGAAAAATATTATAATCGTTACATATGCACTCTGCATTGTTACGTCCTTGATGTGACTAACCACTTTCGTGCCGAGGATAACTTGTCTAATGTAGAATAAGACCGCGACGCGATAGGCTGACTGGCTTAACCTTGAGGCTAGTATGTGTGAGTTCTAAGTGGGGGTATAGAGACGAAAACTATTCTGTCCCTGATTGGCTGACAAGCACGCGCGAGAAAGAACACAAGACAACAGGGACACTACTCGCTTTATTCCAAAATCCGATCTGCTGCCCGAATCCAGATTAGTGTAAAAAGACACATGAATAAATATATGACTAACCCGACCACAACGTACAATAATTAGGAAAATACAATTATGTCCAAAACTGGGGGATTAGAGTAGAAAATAGAGTACAAAAGGTTGCGTCTAAATTACAATGGTTTTGGAACAGAAAAAGCTATGGCAGTGAATCATACGAAAGCTTATGATCTGTAGAATAGACTACGGGCAAAAGTAAATGCTACAGTTTTACAAGCTTTGAATTAAATGAAATAACGTCTTCAAAAATAGTTTCCGTAGTTTGTCAAGGCTTCTTGTTTCGCTGTTCACAACATGCATAATTTGGAAAAGATATCGAATTCTGGTCAGTAAAGGTTACCATAGCTGGTTGTAAATGCACTGGTAGATTGAAATATGAATATTCTGACAAGAATGTTTTTCTTACCTGAGGATGTTATGTCCGTCTATTTTTCTATAATATTAATGATGCACTAGATATCTACCACCGTAGTAGCAACCACCTATTAATAACCATCCCATTATATAGGAGAAAACAGATATTTGAATCTTATTTAATCCCATGTGATAAGGCCGTAATAAGAAGTTATATGACCTCCCTCTCTCCCTATTCCAGTTATCGACTAGTTCATCTATGTTCACAGTAGAACTGGTAACCTATTTACCAATTGGCACACAGACCAATTCAAACAATCGAAACTGTAACATCTGTTGGTCGTTAAACTCCCTTGAACCCAGTGTTCAATTAGAAGATAAAGACCGAAAAAAGATCAGTTCTCTAGTGTATTCAATCCAAACATGGCTCAAAACTCAGACAATAATGAGCCTGGAGTGTCTGACAGAGCAGATAAACATTAAGGTAAATTGCAATATGTATATAACCTAGTCATTAGTGATATAATACCAAAGGTAATGGGAGAATAACTGATTAATGACAAATCTGTAATAATACGAGATATGACAACTATATGTGGATCAAACAGAAGTTTAGAAATAGGAGAATGTTAAAATACAACAATCTAAACGTTTATTAATTATGCAATAATAGTATAAATAAGAATCTTTGATGTAATAGTCCCACCAGTTATACTTCTGTACTATTCACCTCATTATATCATATGCAAAAATACTTTTTATTTAAAGTGACACAAATTGAATGTATCACTGATCACCCACATCACATTAGGTGCTGGATTTACATTTATTTTGCTCAAATAGATATCGCGTTTATTAGACAACAAGCCATAGTCATCATGAGTATATTAATTATGTAGTGATGTAAAAATATGTTAACTGGTTGATGACAATTATCAATAAGCTTTAGATGTCGATTTCGTAGAGGTAACTGGCACTTGTTAACAAAACGAATCTACAAGGATGAAGAAATCTAGTCAACTGATGTCACAGTTAGAAACGCTATTAATTAGCTATAAGAATCGAGATTGACCCCTGGAAGAAATAAGATATCTACTAGTCAATCAGTCATATTCAGCGTAGAACCCGGGACATGTATGAATCTGCTCAAGCTGCTATACCATATCAATAAAGCGAAGTGAAATTAATCAAACAAACGACAAAGTAGAAAAATTAGTCACAGAATCGGTCATAATAGAAGAGATTAGACATAGACCATACGATACTAGAAGAATAATTTGACGTGATAAAAAGTATGAAATAATTTGAAAACCAATATGTTTATACTAATCAGTTACTTGGTAGTACGCACTATCATAGGACTAATAGAATTCTGTTAATTAAAATGTAGTGTGGCTATTAGTTTCAATGACTTAACATCATAAAGTACTATGATTGATACAAGATGTATGAAATCGACTGATAAAAATTTTTGTACTTGTAATGCATA